ATTTGTGCTAAAATTTCTCTAGTTTGGTTAAAACAATTTTTTCTAGTTTAAAATCAATGTGCTAAAATTTCTCTGGTTTGCTTAAAACAATTTTCTTTGGTTTAAAATTGGGAACAAACGCAGAGAAATTTGTAGACAGAGGTAGAAAAATTTCAATTCTCTGTGAACAAAGCCAGAGAAATTTCAATTTTCTCTAGTTTGAATCCAGAGATATTCTTTGGGAAGTCGAGAAGTTCTCTAGATCGATGTTAAGGGAACTTAGACATTATGAAAATATTGAATGTCTTTTATACTATAAAATCTTAATACCATGGACCCTAAAAAAAATCCCTTTTGTAAAAACGGTGACAAAAAAAAAGTTCCTAATTGTCAATTTTTAACGATATATGTAAAAAATCGTCACAAAAAAATAATTTTAACGACAATTTTATTAAGACTTATTTTTAATAAAACTTGATGGAAATTAAGTCCAACTATTATAACATATTGATAGCTTATCCATAAATCATCACCCTGCAACATAACCACTAAGTCAAATACTCTCATTAAGACATCAAAATTCAATTTCAAAAAAACTATTATTAATCGAATTAAATTCATACAATATAAAAAACTCAAATATAAAATTAATTTAATTAGAACCATATGAACTAGATTCACACAATACCTAGAACACTAGTGTAAGTTGTCCTCCCAGATTAATAACGAAAATAGCTGGCTTTATAATTGTTAATTTCGAGAGTTCCATCAGGGAATCATTGGGCTAAGAAGTCGGCGTTGACTTCATAGCATAATCATGAATAATCTTTTGGGTTTTTATTTTTTATTATTATTATTTTGAAAATTATAAATATATCATTTTTCTATACCAAAATAGGAAAAATTACATAAAAAAACCTTAGGGTTTATCCCTGATAATGGATTAAACCCTACATTTTTAAATTGATAACAATTCAAACAATCTGTTTATTTTCCGTCCACTCTATTAAGAGGCCAAAATCACACATAACACTCACACTCTCTCTCCACGTGTCTATTCCTCCATCACCCCCAACAAATCAAACGCAAGTTTTACGGGTCAATTTGACAACACAGTTCAAAGTTAAAAATTAACTTTTAACTCATTTTAAATCACATCATCTCTCATATTTTTTTTAGGAGGACTTACCAGCCGGTCCCATTGAAACAAATTAATACCCACCAAGTCCTGCCCTATTTTAGTTTCCAATTTTACCCCCTCAATGTCACACCACATGTGTGAAGCAAAGAAGATATCACGAGCTCTCCCCTGTGCGCGTGACACACACGCTCCTTCTCAATTGTTCTGATTTAGAAACTATTCTGAGGTGATTTGAAAACCATTCTGAGGCGATTTACAATTTGGAAATCAAAACAAACGAAGAGATTTTCCCTAAATCTCTCATCGTTTCCAAAGAAATCACCTCTGTTTCGATCTATATTCTGATTCTAAACAAATCCCTAGCAAATCTTCTACCGTTTCAATCTATATTCCCTGTTTAGTTCGTCTTCAACAAACATGCTAATAAAACGTGAGTCATATTCATCTTCCGTTCTTCTTTTATAATTATAATTAAGTGATATTCAACTTCATAATAATCACATCTTCATGTTCATTTGCTATACAATAACAGATTTGCTTATTTTAACCAATTCAGTGAGAGAATTTGCTATAAGAATGATAGATTTGTTTAATTTTCTTAATTGAGTGATAAAATTTGTTATAATGATGGATTTGATTCCCTTCTTCTTTCATAACTATAATTGAGTTATAAAATTCGACTTGAAGCTATTTTCAATGTGTATCATATAGTATTAATTTATGATTGATATTCAACTTCATAATAATCACATCTTCATGTTCATTTGATATACAATGATGGATTTGCTTACTTTGCCCAATTCAGTGAGAAAATTTGCTATAAGAATGATAGGTTTGCTTAATTTTCCTAATTGAGTGATAAAATTTGTTATAATGATGGATTTGGTTATCTTCTTATTTCATAACTATAGATTTGCTTCCCTTCTTCTTTCATAACTATAATTGAGTAATAAAATTTGACTTGAAGTTATTTTCAATGTGTATTATGCTGTATTAATTTATGAGTGATATTCAACTTCATAATAATCACATCTACATGTTCATTTGCTATACAATGATGGATTTGCTTACTTTTGCTGATTCAGTGATAAAATTTGATATACAATGATAGATTTGCTTACTTTGCCCAATTCAGTGATAAAATTTGCTATAAGAATAATAGATTTGCTTAATTTTTCTAATTGAATGATAAAATTTGTTATAATGATAGATTTGCCTCATTTCTTCTCTCATAACTATAATTGAGTGATACAATTCGACTTGAAGTTATTTTCAATTTGTACCATACAGTATTAATTTATGAGTGATATTCAACTTCATAATAATCACATCTTCATATTCATTTCCTATACAATGATAGATTTGCTTACTTTTGCTAATCCAGTGATAAAATTTGCTATACAATGCCAGATTTGCTTACTTTGCCCAAATCAGTGAGAAAATTTGCTATAAGAATGATAGATTTGCTTAATTTTCCTAATTGAGTGATAAAAGTTGTTATAATGATATATTTGCCTTCCTTATTCTTCAATAAACATGCGAATCAAACGTGAGTCGTATTCATCTTCCGTTCTTCTTTTATAACTATAATTAAGTGATATTCAACTTCATAATAATCACATCTTCATGTTCATTTACTATACAATAACATATTTGTTTATTTTGCCCAATTCAGTGAGAAAATTTGCTATAAGAATAATAGATTTGCTTAATTTTCTTCATTGAGTGATTAAATTTGTTATAATGATGTATTTGATTCCCTTCTTCTTTCATAACTATAATTATGTGATAAAATTCAACTTGAAACTATTTTCAATGTGTATCATACAGTATTAATTTATTAGTGATATTCAACTTCATAATAATCATATCTTCATGTTTATTTGCCATACAATGATGGATTTATTTACTTTTGTTAATTCAGTGATAAAATTTGCTATATAATGACAGATTTGCTTACTTTGCCTAATTCAGTGATAAAATTTGCAATAAGAATGATAGATTTGCTTAATTTTCCTAATTGAGTGATAACATTTGCTATACAATGACGAATTTTCATACTTTGCCTAATTTAGTGATAAAAATTGTTATAACAATTATAGATTTGCTTAATTTTCCTAATTCAGAGAGAGTTATCAACAGCCCACAATAAGAAGACACTTCGTAAGTTGATCAATAACAAAACACTCCTATAAAAAAAAAAAAAAAAAAGCAACGAAACCAAATTATAATATTTTGTTTTCAAAATATTTTTGCAGGCTTTATTGTGGAATCATTGTTTGCTATATCATGAGGCAATATGTTTCCAGCAACAACATAATGTCTACTTTTTCCAAAGAAGAATGCAATCAATTGAGAGCCGATATATTAACTATCTTCTTTACTGACCAACAAACTGCTCAACAATAAATAGTTGATGAAAACATTGATGACTTGCCTCCGCAATAATCAATAAATCTGAAAGAAAAGAAAACATTTTGCTTGCTTGTTTGTTTGTTACACTAATCAGCAGATCTGGAAGAAAAGAAAACATTTTGCTTGTTTGTTTGTTACAGTGTAATAAAAAGGAAACATTGATTCATTTAGTTGTTAGAATGTGAATACTTCATACATTTGACTTGTTTGGTTGTTACTGTATTATCTATATTTTGATCATTTTGGTTCGTATTTTACTTCAATGAATATTATAATGCTTGGTTGTTACAATGTTAAAATTACAGACAATACACTAAATGAAAATTCAGTCTTTTTTAGCTATATTTTTACCAGATCTGGCTTTGATATCAGTCTTACTTTATGCTTAATAACAAGTTTGGATCCTTTCATTTACTAACATGACACTTTTTTTACACTGATAAATTTATCACTGTTCAAACTAACAAAAATCAGCAACTCTCTCTCTCTCTCTCTCTCTCTCACACACACACACACACACATTCTTTTTTCCTAATTCAAGTAAACAAAACAATATAAAAAATAATAAATAATTTATCTAAATTGAAAATTAAAACACAAACACTATTACATTGTCTAAATTGAGAATTAAAACACTGTTGTAATTTGTAGATATTTTCAAGTTTGGGAATGAATGTAAGAACATGTCATTCTGGGTATATGGAGTGGAGATAAAGTTCTAACAGTAAATCCAAAAAAATAAACCGTACATACATTTTAACATTTGACTCCAAGAACTAGTTATTTATGAAGAAAAATGATCTTATTCAAGACCTGATGATAAACTGTTGCATCTAAAGCATTTCTTAGACTGAAATTTTGAATAATTTAATCTGAAAATGAATTGCAAACTCGAAATATTTTGCTCCAAGGATCCCACTGATAGTTAATTGCATAGTGGCAGTAATGTAGCACAGATTGGGAAACTTAGTCCCAAGCTACCTACAATTGATTTTTCTTGAGTTTAAGCCACTGATAAATTTATCACTGTAAAAAAGAACATTTAGTTGGATATGACAGTGATAAATTTATCAACCACTGACATAAATGTAATAAATCATCAACTCTTTCCATACAGTCAGTTATAAATTTATCATTCTTAAAAATAACAAAATTCAGCAACCCTATTAATGCTTGATTGTTTCCTTCGGACAATAGTAAATTTATCACTCTTAAAAAAACATAATCCATCAACTCATTCAAACCAACCAGGGATAAATTTACCACTGTAGAAAACACCAAAAACATCAACTACATTTAACCAAAATCAAAGAATATATATTTGTGAAACTCAATCTTATAAAAATATCAACAAAAAATATAATTTCCGTTCAAAAAATTCCTCAATCATCCAATGCAACTACCGAAATGATGTATCTTTCAAAAAATACTCAAGCATTCAATGCAAGTAACACCTCTTAACTCTCTACAAAAGTAATTCAATTAAAATCAATACAACTAAAGCAAGCTTCTTTACATGTCTTTCGATTATGAGTTCCCATCTTTCCACACCTACTGCACCTAATTCTCTTGATCCGCCCTTCGAAGGTATTCTCTCTGTTCTTGGACATCTAACTAGTTTCTTACAAAGATGAGGTAAAACAACGTCATCATCAAGAACTATATTTGGCTTCCACATACTAGGAACTGGATAGATAGAATGTAAATAAGAATCACAATAACTACGAACATGGTAGTAATCCTCAAGAAACTTCTGAACATTACGACCACAACGACCCTTAAATTCTTCAAATAGCTCATTAAACAACTCAATAGTAGGAGCATTTGCACATCTACTAAAAGGAGTGAGCAAATACTCTTTAGATTCGCGACTCTTCACTGACAAATAAGTCTTCAAGTTTGTTTTCAAATGCGTTGGACAAAAAGAATGAGAAGAAAACGAAATGACCTTAGCTAAAGCTTTCAGCAAACCTGCATGTTGATCAGTAACAAACGTAATATCCCTTCCCGGTGTCAAAATAGCAAATAACTTTGACAATAACGAATGCCAATTGTCATAACGTTCACTATCAACAATGGCAAAACATAATGGATATAAACCTACACACAAAATATATACACATTATTTGTAACAAATAAAAAAGATTACAAAACAAAAGCAAAACGCAAAGTATATAACATATAGCACCAACCATAGATAACTTTATCACTGTATTACTACAACAATTCAATAAAAACATACAACATAGAGAATCAATGCATAATAAATTTATCACTGTATAAATATAAAAATTTAACAAAAGTATACAACATACAAAAGTATACAACATAAATTTAACACTAATTGATTGACCATACTCAATAATCAACACTCTCCAATAAAAAAAAATGATAAAATTATCATTGTTTTAATAATAATAACAAATAGACACAGAATATACCTTGGTTACTGTCTTTTTCCGTAGCAGCCAATAAACAACATTTGTGTCTTCCTTTCAAGAAAGTTTCATCAAGCATCAACACAGGTCGACAATACTTGAAACCATGAATACATGCCTCAAAAGAGAAAAACAAGCATTTGAAATGTCTTCCTTTACTATCAATATCAAATTCCATATCAAAAACACTCCCTGGATTACAATCATTAGCGGTATCGATATACCAACGAAGATCATCAAATGAAGATGAATAGTCAACAAAAATAACATCCCTTGGTTTTTCAACACTCATCCAAGCTCGCCGATAAGAAACTTCTGTTCCATAATAGTCCTGGAAATCACAAACCGCCTCACTAATCGATGTCAAAGCCTTATTACGAACCTCACTTGAAATTAGCCCACCAATCATACTCGAAGTCATCCTAGTATGTTTAATTGTACGAAAAGAAGATCCACACGTATGAACATCATCAAATTGTTTAATAACAAAAGCTTTACTAGAATTTTCCACTCTAGCATGCACGCTCCATAAACATCCCAAATCAGCCATTCTCTTACAATGAATAGTGACACGATCCTTGTCATTCTTAACAAAATCAAAATCAAAATTGAAATGAATAGAATACTTTCACAACGCATCTCGAAATTCAACATCTCCTTGAGCAAACCTTTGACCCACTCCTTTTATTCAACTAACCCACCTATTGGAGAGCAAAGGTTTCCGTTGATTTAAATAAAATGAAGACAAAAAATCAGTTTTACAAATAACACTACTACTATTACCAGCTTCACCATCACAAATCATATAACCTTCACCCAAAAAACAACACTTAACAAAAACATCAATACGATGAATATCACAAGAAAGTGCGAGTCTAACCATAACCTCCAAATCCTCTTCACTTTGTAGACCATAATAAGAATGTACAAGCATTGAATACGATATATTCAAAAAAACTACCAACTAACTCACTCCACTTTGCACACATTTTGTATACTAAATCCTTGAAATTAAATCCATCATTATACTTGATAACCAATGTCACACCTCTAAATTTGCACATAAGAAACAAAGAATTTTCCATCACTATAAATTTTGCAACAAACAACAATTATATTTTAGCAAACAACTCAAACAACCTAAAGCAAAATCTAATACAGTGATAGAATTATTAACCAACTCAAACACATCCAAAAACCAACAGTTATAAATTTAACAATTAACACTACCTAAGACCAAGAGCATGAACAGTGAATAAGGCTTACACTTATTGGGCATGGTAACTCAATTTGAATCTTACCATTATATTATGCAACTTTTCCATCTCCTATTCCTATACTCACTGATAAATTTATCAGTGTTGAAAAAGTTAATCCAATGATACCCCCAAACTACTCAGTGATAAAATTATCACTGTAGAAAATCACAAACCAACACTTGTGTTCAACCAAAACAATTTCGTAACCCAAAAAAAAAAAAAAAAATCTAATATTCATTACATATACATATCTCAAAGCTTTCAATATCATGATAAAAATACAAATTCAATCGCAGAAATAACAGAATAACAACAATATCATAAACAAAATCAAAATTACAAACTCAAACTAAAAAACACCAAAACATTGAAATTGAAATCAAAATCAAACGTACCAGTTGAGCTTCATCTACAAAATCGCAAATTACAAAATCTAACTATACACCAAACGTGAAATTACAAAACACGAAGATTCACAGATTCATAAAAAAACAAATCACAAATCGAGCTTCCTCTATGAGATCGCAAATCGCAAAATCCAAATATACACCAAGCGCGAAATCACAAATCACGAAGCTCCACAATAATGAATTAACAAATCGCGAAGTTCCACAGAAATCCAAATCACAAACCCAAACCCAAACTCACATTACAGTATTTTGATGGCAAAAATCAAATAGAAACGTGCCAAAATAGGGGAAAACAAAACAGGGGTAAAACAGGTATAAAAAAAAGACTCCAGGACCTATTGGTGCACAACATCAATATTCAGAACTAAGAAGGGAATAACTATAAAAAGTAGGACCGGCCAGTAAAAAATCCTTTTCTTTATACATTAAAAAAATCAAAAAATTAATTTTTAACCATCTTTCTAAAACACCCCATCTGCCAACAATACTCTTTAAACTCTGGCCAGTTATCTTTGGATTCAATCAAAAAGTCAAACATCAAAATACCCAAATCAATACACACAAAATCTCACACACTGTAGGATGGCAGTACTTTTTGGATGAAGGGATCCAAACAGGTGTCTAACAGTGGTGCTGATAGTTGAATGGAAAAAGATGATGAGAGAGGTGAGTGTAATTAATCAAGTGTGGTAAGCTGCATTATAAGTGAATGATTTTTGGTTTTGGTAGGGTTGATGCTTAATAAAGTAGAGTTCTGATTTGGTGTGGTCCAGTTTAATGGTAAATTTTCCATTAACTTGAATGAGTGATATAAATAGGGCCACGTGCATTACCAGATATTTCTCTCTGTTAAATAAGATAACCGAGTATGGATGGATTGTTTGAATTGTTATCAATTTAAAATGTAGGGTTTGATATGAAAAAAATTAAAATTGTAAGGTTTAATCTGCTATGAGGGTTAAACTTTGGGGTTTTTTATGTAATTTTTTTCCAAAAAACATGTTTATGTTATAATGATGAAAATTTTGGCTTCTAATTAATTAATATAAATGAGACTAGTTTGTATAAATTTTTGGAAAAATTACAAAAAATATTAAAATTTTAATTTTGTTAATTCAAACCTCAATTTTTTTTTTTATTTTTTAAATTTGTTTTCAAATTAAACAAATTTTCTATTTTCGTTAAGTAAAATTACGGGAAAATTATTTATAAGTCCTATTAGGGAGGCTTATGCTACATATGGTCCTACAAAAAAATTTATTTTCCCATAAGTCCTGTGGGAAGTTTGTTGATACATTTACCCTCAATATTAGTTGTTAATATCATAAATAATAGTAAAACCATATATAGGAAATTGAATGTTACCATAAATCATATATATATAAACATAACGTAACATGACACTTACATAAACGTAACGTGACACCTGTACGTAACGTGACATCTACATAAACATAACGTGACACATGTACGTAACGTGACATCTATATAAACGTAACGTGACACCTATGATCTATGGCAACATTCAATTTCTTATATAAACGTAACGTAACGTGATACCTACATAAACGTAACGTATGGCAACATTCAATTTCCTATATAAGAAATTGAATGTTACCATAGATCATATTTATATGAAACGTAACATGACACCAACATAAACCAGCAACATTTTCACATTCAATTTAAAAAAATAAAAACTCATTAAATTTTCGAAACGTAACGTGACACGTTACGTTACGTTTATGTGGGTGTCACGTTACGTTTATATAGGTGTCACGTTACGTTACGTTTATGTAAGTGTCACGTTACGTTACGTTTATGTAAGTTTTACGTCCCGTTACGTTTATGCAAGATTTTGTGAAATACATTCCTATCTAAATAGGACTTGAGACTCTATAAGAAATTATACAGGACTTAGCCTAACATAAGTGTCTGAAAAAGGACTTATAAATAAGTCTTCCTAGAAAATAAACAATATATTACTGCTATTTGTATTTTTCAACCAGAATATTTTTTTGTAAGACCACATAAAATAATTTTTGTAAAAAAAAGAAAGAAAGAAAGGAAACAAAGGAAAAATTATGTATAAATAGAATAATTCAAATATGTCTTAGAATTATTGGAACAATCTTCTGTGTAAAATAAATAATTTAAAACCAAATCAAACAAATAAAAATAAATTACTTACATAATTTATTTCCCGAAATGAAAAAGTACAAAATAGATCAAGTCGAGTGGGTGACACTTTGTCCTTAAGACAGATTCGTCCCGCTTTGGTGCTTACGGATAAATGACGTCTATCTCCTAGGATACAATGATCTATACAGATTGTAGTAGCACTTCAAACAATCTGTACGACGAACCAAGCCTGTGCTCTATACTCTTAGAATTTTTCCTAAAAATAACATAAAGAATATATCTATGCAAGAAAGAAAAATTGGAGGGAAACAAGAAAATATTTGGATTTTTCAGGATGTCAAACTGCTGGAGAAGTCCTGGTATTTATAAGGCCGAACATGTATGAATTCAAACTGGAATAGATATGAATTCAAACTAGAACAGGTGCAAAACAGTTTTAGAACTGTTGGAAACTGCTGGGCAGTTTTAAGGCCTAGTTTGGCATAATACAAAAAATTCAAAAAGTCAAAAAGTCACTATCCTATTTAAGCCACGTCATCTCATTTAAATCACATAATCTCTCTACCACATCACTTCAAACCTAACTCATATTTCATGTTTTTTCATAAAAAGTGAAAAAATGCACTTATTTAGATCATCCCAGAACTGATGGGCAGTTTTCAAACAGTTTAGAACAATTTAAATTGTTGGAAAAGGGCACTGTTTGGACAAAAAAATTTAGCACAAAAATTAAATTAATTTTGTTTAGAAATTCAAATAATTTTCCCGCATGAATTTGAAAAAATTGAAATAAATTAATATTAGGACCGACCCGACCCACACCTGTGCACGGCACGACCTAGCCGGCCGGGTGGACGGACCACGACTTGGTGCGTAGTGGTTTGAACCAAAGGCCACTTTATCCATAACTCCTCCCTTTTACAAACTTGGAGTGCTCATTGGGGCTCAACCCAAGTGTTGCCACCTAGAGCTTATAAACACATACAAGCTCTGTTAAAGTTTCAATGTGGGACAACCATTTAAAGAAAACCTACTTTTGACTCTTCAATTTTCTATTCCACGGACTCAAAAACGATGTCAAGTTCCCATTCACTCAGAAATGGTTTTGACGAACCATTTATATCGTGTGACTTGCGATGTGGTAAGAAACACGTCACCTCTTTAGACCCACCCCAAAAGACGTGTGGATGTCATTCAAATTTGGGCTTAAAGTTGGCTCAAAAAAAGCTTATAAAACCATAATTCCAACAAAAAAAACCTAAAAAATCAACTAAACTAGTTGAACCGAACCAAACCGGCTATATAATGCTTTTTGGATTTTTTTGGATGGATTAAAATGGCTGGTTTCATAACCTATTTATAGGCCTTGATGCAGCTGATCGAATAGTCATATCCTTTGATCGCATCCTATAAGATTTGATCGTTGGATTGACGATCTATGGTGCAGATCATTCTCACACCGAATAGACGCCTTGACTTATCATACCTGATCCCGATCAGATGCCATCTCATTCGTACGATTGCGCGCATCCCTAATCAACGGCTATGATCAAACCGCTCCAGATCAGATACGCAACCGTTCGATAGGTCGGTTGACTCATCGCCAACGGACGCCACATCATTGCCACTCAGAGCTAACTGTATTCCACGTCACTCATGCTACGTTGGACCCACGTCATTGCTTCAACCTATCCGATGCAAATAGGAAAGTGCCCTCATAGCGCCTTGTGTCTGTGCTA